CGGCCACTGCACTCCAGTCTGAGCGACAGAGTGAGACTCCAACTCAAAAAAAAAAAAAAGAAAAAGAAAGAAATGATGTGCAGAAACCCTTTCAGGAAGAGCTGCTGGGTTGAGTCGTGCAGGTTGTATACTGCCCAACTTCAGTGGGCATCATTCACATAGATGACAACACACGTGGCTCCCCCCACCATCGTGCATTTTAGCAGCCAGTCTATAGGAGTCTAAAGAAGAAGGAGGCTGAATTCAGCCTGGCAGCGGTAGGTGCTGTGATACCAAATGTTGAGGACAGAGCAGAAAGCCAGAGTGCTTGGGAAGCAAAAGGACATCAAATAAAGGATTCCCTGAAGCCTCTGCCATTTGGCCTCTGTCCTGGGGATGATCCATAAAACACATAAAGGATCTGATCATATTTATAGAAGGCCCACACAATGTTAGGCTCTTCTTCTGGAACAAAATGGACACACATCAGAGTTTGGGAAAAAGTTCTGGACCATGGGCTGAGTCTAACATCAGCGGCCAAGGACATGCATAATCTAATCTAACATCAGATAATCTAATCATTTATTTGGGGATAACTGGAGGAAGATTACTTTTATGTATTATCTCGATTGAGCCTCAAAATAACCCCAACAGTAAAAGAGACAGCCTCAATTTAGAGGAGCTGCGTGACTTGCTCAAGGTCACAGGCTGATAAGGACAAAGGCAGGATAGGAACACAGACTTCCAGACTCCAAGGCCAGTGCTCTCACTTCTGTACTGTCTCCACTGGGACATGGCCTCTCCCTGTTGGTCCCTGAAGGCCACAAATCACCTCTGGCACTTTTAGAACAATAAAAAGCCTTCATTGTTCTGGTTCTGCTTTTTTTGTTTTTTGTTTTTTAATCAAAAGACTTCCTGCCAGTTTAGCTTGGGACTCACACACAAAGCTGCTTTCAGTCCCTTGGCTGTTGCAGGAGGGAGCACAAGACCCCCTCCTCTCCACGTCACATTCCTGTGCTGTGCATCCTCAGCCATGCCTAGCTGACCTGAGACACCAACACCCCTTCTTCTCCACATGTGCCATGGCTTCTCTCCTGTTTCTCCTGCCTGGGCCATCCTCGTACTTGCAGGCCTTTGTGGCCACAGCCTGACTTTCTGCTTTTGCCTTCAGCAGCTCTGGCTGGGCTCACAAAGATGGCTTTCACCTTGGGGTCCTTAGAGGAACTGTCTCAACAGGGAGAGCTTTTCTTTTCTCACAATATTCAATAGCACAAGACACATGGACACCCTTTAATAGTCATTCTTTCTGTCTTGTGGGCCTTATAAAAGTACTGTTTCTCAGAGCCTCCTCTTGCCTTAAACTTTATGAAGAACTTCATTAAGAAGCTTATAAACTTAGTAAGATAGGATTTCTGATTGGGAATTTCGTCTTGAGGAAACACAGGCAAACTCAAAGAGAACTCTATAAAATAAAAATATGATTTCCAAAAACAGTTGTAAACAAAAAAAGGAGCTTCTGGGGGTGTAAATCAGTATTTCTTTGAACCAGTTATGGATTGGATTGTGTCCTTCCAAAATCTACATGTTAAAGCCCTAACCCCTAGTACCTCTGAATATGACCTTATTTGGAAGTGGGGACTTTGCAGATGTAATTAGTTAAAATGAGTTCACACTGGAGTAGGACATGGCGGGTAACCTCATAAAAAGGGGACATTTGGACACAGAGACAGATGCACACAGGGAGAACACCATGTGAAGGGGAAGGCAGAGATCACGGTGTGCATTTACAAGCCAAGGAATGCCTAAGATTGCAGCAAACTACCAGAAGTGAAGGAGAGGCCCAGAACATTCTTCTTCACAGCCTCAGAAGGAATCAGCCCTGCTGGCTCCTTGATCTCAGGTGTTCAGCCCCCAGAAGCCTGAGGTAAAAAATGCCTGTTGTTTAAGCCATCCAGTTTGTGGTACTTTGTCATGGCAGCCCAACCTAACCAATATAGGACCATATAATAAAACCCATTAAAATGTTAAATACACATTCCCTTTGACCCAGTAATTCCACAACTAACAATTTACCATTTCTTTTCTTTTTTTTGAGTTGGAGTCTCACTCTGTCACCCAGACTGGAGTGCAGTGGCCACCGCAGCCTTGACCTGCTGGGTTCCAGCAATCCTTCCACCTCACCCTCCCAAGTAGCCGGAACTACAGGCGCACGGTACCACATCCAGCTAATTTTTGATTTATTGTAGAGACGAGGTCTTGCCAAGTTGCCCTGGTGGGTCTCGAACCTGCGGGCTCAGGGAATCCACTCGCCTCGGCCTCCAAAGTGCTGGGGATTACAGGCTGCGCCACTGAGCCCGGCCTATGATTTACCCTTTCGACACACTCACACACTCCACAAACAAACATGTATAATGATTTTCACTGAGGTATCATTTAAAGGCAAAAAAACTGGAAGGGACCTCAATGGCTATCAGTAGGGCTCTAATTAAGTATACCGTAGCAGAGCCGTATAGTGGAATACTACATAACTCTTTTTTTTCTTTCTTTCTTTTTTTTTTTGAGTTGGAGTCTCACTGTCGCCCAGACTGGAGTGCAGTGGTCGCTCCTGGCCACCGCAGCCTCGACCTGCTGGGCTCCGGCGATCCTTCCACCTCAGCCTTCCAAGTATCTGGAATTACAGGCATGCGCTACCATGCCCGGCTGATTTTTTGATTTATTGTAGAGATGAGGTCTCGCTGCCCAGGTGGGTCTCGAATTGCCGCGGGTTCAGGCAATCCACTCACCTCAGCCTCCCAAAGGCGCCGGATTACAGGCTGAGCCACCAAGCCCGGCTACTACATAACTCTTAAAAAGAATGAAGTAAAGGATTGTTTGGGGCAAGAATCACCATGAATGGCAAATCTAGAGAGGAGTGTTTGATGAGGAGCAGGATAATTGCACAATCTCAAGGTGTCTCTCCGCAAACTGCTTATTACTAACTCCGCAAGGAAGAAACTGACAACCCCAATGAGGCAATCAAAATTGACATCACCAATGTAGGGCAAACAGAAATAGCATGTCTGAGGGTGTGATTTCTAATCATTCACAAGATAATCTGGTCAGGAAATCGTTCTTGAATTTCATCAAGAGGAAAGAGTAAAGAGCACATTATAAAATAAATGGCATGTACTCTTCAAATACCTCAACATCATCAATGATGAAAGCAGACTGAGGAATAGTTTCCTATTAAAGGAGGCTAAAGAGACATGATATCTAATATGTGCTCTTGGATTGGATCCTGGGTCAGTATAGCAGGAGGTGGGAGGGGAAGTGCTATTTAGGATGTTAAATAGCAAATATGTGATGAAACAAATGATGAAACTGGAATATGGATCCTAGATTAGATAAAAGCATAACATCAATGTGAAGTTTCCAGAATGTGATCATGATGTAAGAGAATACTCTTATTCACAGTAAATGCTCTCTGATCTACTAGGGATAAAAGGGCATAAATGTAAGCAGCCTATTCCAAATGGTCCAAAAAGATATACTCCTGGATAGATAGATGAGAATGATGAAGTCAATGTGGAAAATATTAAAAAGTTGCTAATAAATAAAATGCAGTACATACTCACCAAGGAATAACACTAAACAGTGAAAAGGAACAAAACACTGATATGTGCAATAACATGGATGAACCTCAAAAACATTATGCTTAAGTGAAGAAGACAGATGCAAAAGACTATACACTATGTGATACCATTTATATGAAATTTCTAGAAAAGGCAAAATTATAAAAACAGAAAACAGTCAGTAGTTGCCCAGGGTTGAGGGGGGAGTGGAAACCAACTGCCAGTAGGCAGCAAGGAGCTTACTGGGGAGACAGAAAAGTTCCATGTTGGGTTGTGGTGACCACACACCCTAGGTGAACTTTATGGCATGTAAATTATACCACAATAAAGTAATCAGAAAGTGATACATTTAGGTTAAGGGTATATAGGAGTATTCTGTACTCTTCTCACAATTTTTCTGTAAGTTTGAAATTATTTCAAAATAAAATTTGTTGTTATTGTTTTGTTTTGTTTAGTTTTGAGTTGGAGTCTCACTGCTGCCTAGGCTGGAGTGCAGTGGCATGCTCACGGCACCATAGCCTCGACCTGCTGGGATCAGGAGATCTTTTCGCCTCAACCTTTCAAGTAGCTGGAACTACAGGCATGTGCCACTATGCCTGGCTAATTTTTTAATTTATTGTAGAGAAGAGGTCTCTCTGAGTTGCCTGTAGGCTCAGGCAATCCTCTCACCTCAGCCTCCCAAAGTAATGGGATTATAGGCATGTGCCACTATGCCTGGCTAATTTTTTAATTTATTGTAGAGAAGAGGTCTCTCTGAGTTGCCTGTAGGCTCAGGCAATCCTCTCACCTCAGGCTCCCAAAGTAATGGGATTATAGGCGTGAGCCACTGTGCCTGGCCTAAGATGTTTTTATAAAATAGAATGAGTAGATCTGTATGGGCTAATATGAAATGATTCTAAGATACATACTTCATATGTCTATATACACATCTATATATAATAAGGTTCCAAACAGTGTATATACCATGTTTGAAAAGCTTATATATGCATATATCTGCATACACACACACACACACACACACACACACACACACTCTATATGTATGCTTAGAATAGGAGTAGGTAAACGACATCCCTCTGCCTGTTTCTGTATATAAAGGTTCACTGGGACATAACCATACCACTGTTTACATGTTGTCCACAGCTGCTTTTGCAAAATCAGAGTTGAGTGGTCGTGACAGACTAGATGAGAAAGCTAAAAATATCTACCATTTGGTCCTTTACAGAAAATATTTGCCAACCTCTGGCTTAAAAAAAATTTAAGAAATACATACAAGATAGTAAGTGTTGCCTCAAGGAAATGGGGATTGGGATTTGGGATGTGAAAGAGCCCAGATTTTTATTCTAAACCTTTTGGTACTCTGAAGTTTGTTCTACAACATGTGGCTCTATGGCTTTAATAAAAAAATTATTTATAAATAATATATAAATATGTGTGTGTGTGTGTGTGTGTGTGTGTGTGTGTGTATTTTTTTTTGAGTCAGAATCTCACTCTGCTGCTCAGACTGGAGTGCAGTGGCACACCCACAGCCACTACAGCCTCAACCTTCGGGGCTCAGATGATCCTTTTGCCTTAGCCTTAGTATCTGGAACTACAGGCATGTGCCACCAAGCCCAGCTAATTTTTTGATTTATTGTAGAGACAAGGACTTGCCAAGTTGCCCAGACTGGTCTCAGACTCCTGGGTTCAGGCAGTCTTCTCACCTCTGCCTCCAAAAGTGCTAGGATTACAGGCATGAGCCCCCATGCCTAACGATAAAAATAATCTTTAAAAATTATTTTAAATTGCCTTTCATTTTCACAGACCAACTGTTGTTGTCCTAGAGGTGGTGGTGACTGGCACAGATCGCCACAGGAATGCAGCATTAACATACCTGGTCTTGTTTCCCCCAGATGATCTGCGTTGGGACCTTGATCTTGTCCATGTTCTGATGAAGAGAATATCTGGACTTCTCACTGACGATTTCCAAAAACACTTGTCAGAAAAGGAAAACAAAGTGAGCATGTGCTGGGTTGTGCCCAGGGGTACCACTGTAGAGTCAAGGGATAGTCACCAAATCCAGGCCACTACTTCCTCTCTTCAGGGGCCAAGTAAACATTCAACATTTCAGAGACTAAGAAATAAAAGCTATTCATCCATAAGCTTCACTTGCAACAGGCTCCAAGCAGAACATAGGGCTACTTACACTTTCGGTAGAAGTTGTTATGAGGGATGCGGACATCGACAAGCCCTTGCAGGATCTAAGAAGAAACAGTCAAGAGTCAGGAAAAAGAAAGAACTCATCAGCTCAGGCCTCTCACAGCTCTGGGACAATAAATGGAATAAAGCTGAACAACTTACTGAATTGTTAAGGTTTTTAGGGCCTGGTTCTCTGAATTCCCATTGTATACTGTATACATGCAGTATACAACGTAATTACATTGGTAGTTAAGCTCCCAAGAGATTTTTGTTTGTTTTTTAATTAGGAAGGTACTTGAATAATACCATGAAGCCAGAGGTCCTCTACAGCATGTAAAAGACACCTGGTAAGGCCCTGGCAGCTGCTTTATCTTGAGAAATTCTCTCCTTAGTTTAAGACATAATCAGAATGGATATAATATCAAGTAATTATTCATAATATCCAAATGCAGGACAAGGTTTATTTAAAAAATTAAATCTGGCTGGGTGCGGTGGCTCATGCCTATAATCCCAGCACTTTGGAAGGCCGAGGTGAGAGGATTGCCTGAGCCCATGGGTTCAAGATTAGCCTGGGCAACTTGGCAAGACATTATCTCTACAATAAGTAAAAAAATTAGCTGGGCATGGTAGTGCATGCCTGCAATTCTAGCTACTTGGAAGGCTGAGGCAGCAGTATCACCTGAGCCCAGCAGTTTGAGGGTGTGGTGGCCATGAGCATGCCACTGCATGCCAGCCTAGGTGACAGAGTGAGACTACAACTCAAAAAACAAAAAAAATTAAATGATTGGGAATGATGGGCCTATTAAACAATGAAGAAATGGACTACTAAGAAAATGTGGGGAGGGTTCCATAGTCCTTTGCCTATTATTGAACATTTTCTTTGCCTTGCCTTCTGCAGGTTGGTGAGGGTTGTGCCAAGTATGACCAGGCCAGATCTCCTGGACCTGTGCTACGGATCCAAAGAGGTAGCTGTGGCCAGAAGGAACACAGTCCTCTCTTTCTCCTGCCTCAGGATTCTTGAGGTAGAGCACAGGATTCATATTAGCAGCCATCACTTCTCTCATCTGCCTGGAAATAGGTCTGAACTCCTCTAATGCACTCTCTTCGAGTCCTATGCACTGTGAAGAAGGCCCAGTTATAGCTGCTTTGGACTAAACCAACCCTCTGGAGCATAACTAGAATCTGACTGCTTCTGGAAGTGGAAGCCTAGAGGTGAAACCAACGACAACTTGTCAAACAACATTGTACTCAGTATCAGACATTTACTTTGCTCAACTCATCCTGTTCCCATGCATCTATTCATCCTGCATTCATGCATCTTCCACCTCTGCTCAATCCACCTATCTTGCTTCTCTGGATCACATATGCATGTGTCTATACAAGCATCTAACTACCCACATTCAGGAATCCATTCATCCTCTATTCCTGCATTATCCAGGCATTCTCCCATCCATCCAACCAACCCTTCAGCCAGCCATCTATCCATCCATCCTGCAGACCTAGGCCATCTATATATGCACATGCAGCAAATCATACATTCATCCACACACTCATCTGTTCTCTATCCCTGCATTATTCAGGCATCCTCTTGTCAATCCATCCAGTCTTTGCCTAGGACTCCATGCAAGCACTGTGCTAAAGTGTGGAGATAGAACAGCCAATTAAGACAAAGTCCCTAAGCAAACAGAGACTCACAACACAACACGACATGGTGGGTTGAGTGTGCAGGTGCTCCTTTTCTCCCAGGAAAGAAAGGCTTTTGGAGCTGCCATTTATTTTCTGTTTTCCTGTCCTTGACAACTCAAAACATGGAGTTTTCTAAAACACTGCTTGACCACTCCGCTCTGGGGAGAGATTAGTGCTGGGAGGGGAAAGTGCAACTTCACAACTGAAAGAAGACTTCAGGGGTGGGACAGACGACAGAATCAGATTCTGGGTCCTTCCTCAGAGACAAGCCACACCCGTTCACTGAGTGGGGTTCACAATTTCTGAATAGAGCCCATCCTCTCAACTTCTAGGAAGATCCCCCCACCCTGAGGCAGGGTCCAGTTCCTACCTAGAGGGAGATACTTTGGTGTTATGAGGCCACAGTCATGGACTCTCCTCTCTTGGTTCTCCACCCCATTTCCCTAGATGACCTCATTCAGAATGATGGCCTTCAATGTCATCATCTACTGATGGCTCCACTGATGTAGCTTCAGGCCACACTTCCCTCAGCTCCACTTGGAGATCCAACTGCTTACTTGACATCTGCACTTGAAGGCCTCACATGCAACTTGAACCTAACACATCCAAAATGGAGCCCCCAGCATATTCCCCAAACCTGCCCATCCTCCCCTTCTCCTACTCAAAAAATGTTCCTTTTATCGACTGGAGGTCACCTGTGACTCCTCACCTTTCCTCATCCCTCATTTCAAGTTTGCCAGTACGTCCTGTCCATCTTCCTCCCCAAGCATCTCGAATCTCTTGTCCCCACTGCCTCCACCCTGTTCTATACCACCATCATCTCTAAGTCGCAAAAGCTCCTGAATGGGTTTTTCTACTCTATTTGTGAATGGGTTTCTCGACTCTATTTGTGTTCCTCTATAGTCTTGCAGTGGTTCTCCTATTGTATTTAGAAAAACCCCTTCTCATAACCTGTAAGGTCCTGCATGATCTAGTCCAGTGGTTTTCAGTGGTTCTTGGGAGTCCATGAGGTCAAACTATTTTTGGGGGTTTTTGTTGTTGTTTTTTGAGTCAGAGTTTTATTCTGTCACCCAGACCACACCCATTCACTGAGTTGTGTTCACAACACGGTTACTGCAGCCTTGACCTCCTGGGCTCAGGCGAACTTTCCACCTCAGTCTTCCAATTATCTGAACCTACAAGTGCATGCCACCACATCTGGCTAATTTTAAAATTTATTGTGGAGATGAAGTCTCACCAAGTTGCCCAGGCTGGACTTGAACCCCTGGGCTCAGACGATCCTCTCACCTTTACCTCTCAAAGTGCTGGGATTACAGACATGAGCCAGCATACCCAGTGAAATGATTTTTGTAATAATACTCAATGTTACTTGCCTTTTTCACTTACATTCTCTCAAAAGCACACTGTTTTTCAGAGCCTACATAACTTGGGATAATGTTATCACTCTGATGGCTCCTGGAATGAGTGCTTGTGTTGGGAACCAGCCTTGGAGGCCCACCAGATTGACAGGGTCTGGTGACCCCCGGCCACAGGCTACTGGAAACTCATTGTCCATCTTTCCACTACGTTGTTTAACCTGTCCCTTTTTGCCCATGTGATGACTCTGAGGCATGTTTAAAGGGCTTTCTTTTGTTTGGTCCTGGGTTACAGATGTTTTTAGGGTTAAGATTTGTGACTAATACCTGGTAAAAAGAGGTTTCTGATTTTGTTTAGGCAAAGAATTGTTTTGAATATTTTTGTAGTTATGGTGTTTGAATACAAGGCATAAGATTTAAGTGTAGTGAAAGTTTACATTAAGGTATATGTAGGTGATTTATAAGTTTGTTTTGAGATACATATTAAAGTTATAGTATATAAAAAGTTAAAGGGTTTAGATGTAGAATTTAAGTGAGTAAAACAGGTTTTATTCAACTACCGAAACTACCTTGAAGCCTGAATAACATCACTAGAAGTTTCTTCTAAGCTGTTTTTTCCTCAGAGATAGGATGTTCCAGATAGGAAAACAATAAAGGAATTCGAATAAGAAAAAACTACCAAGGGGCTTGAAAGACCAGAAAGTTTGCAAGAAGAAACTCCTTGTCCATGAGAAAAGAAACATCTGCCAGGAACTTCTAGAAAATTTCCAGGTGCACATTCTTCTGTCAGATGGAAATATTCTACATATGAACTGCTCCAAAACCCTGGGCCAGAAACTGTTGTTCTGGCCCCCAGAGACTTTATTATGGAAAACCTGTTTCCCTGATAATTTGAATATAGGAAGTTAAGTTTATAAGAGTTAAATTTGTTAGAAAGATTGTAATATATATTAGTTAATTGGGGATATAAGTTTTGTTTTAAGTGGAGTTGTTTAATGAGAAGCTTTAAAATTTTATAATTTTAAGATTTTCTATTAACGGGTTGCGGGAACTGTTTTTTACAGGGTAACATCATTGTGTTGGGATTATGTGGTTTTGGGTGGACATAGCTCGCTACTACTCGCAATAAAATGGCATCTGTACCCTTTTAACAGGTGTCCAGTGTGTCTCTCTCTCTCTCTCTCACAATCACCTATGCCGTCTCCACCTTTGGGGTACCTCGGACACTGCGGGACCTGGTCTCCGGCATGCTTATACATTCTTGTGCTTTAAAGTTTTCTGAGTTTCAATTTCTTTTTTTTTTTTTTTTTTGAGTTGGAGTCTCACTCCATCGCCCAGGCTGAAGTTAAGTGGCACACTTACAGCCACTGCAGTCTTGACCCGCTGGGCTTTAGCAATCCTTCCAACTCAGCCTTCCAAGTAGCTGGAACTACAGGCATGTGCCACCACACCCAGCTAATTTTTTTGATTTATTGTAGAGATGAGGTCTCGCCATGTTGCTCAGGTTGGTCTCAAACCTGTGGGCTCAGGCAATCCTCTCTCCTCAGCCTTCCAAAGTGCTGGAATTACAGGTGTAAGCCACTACACCTGGCTAGAGTTTCAGTTTCTAATATGGTAAATGTCAATAAATATAACCCCATAAATAAAAGCCTCTTAGTTTCCTCTATAACTTTTAAGAGTGTAAAGGGATCCTGAGATTTTTAAAAATTTTAGAATCTCTGATTCAGCCCTTTCCTCCCTTTTCTGAGTCTCACTCTGTTGCCCAGGCTGGAGTGCACACTCACTGCAGGCTCGACCTGCTGGGCTCCGGCAATCCTTCCGCCTCAGCCTTTCAAGTAGCTGGATCTACAGGCACGCACCGTGCCCAGCTAGCCTCCCTTTTCAACTTCATCTTTACCCATTCTCTCCCCTACCCTCTGGGCCCCAGCCATCCCAGCTGCCCTCCATTGTCTTGAATATACATATGTTTTTTCTAACTCTGCACATGCTGTTCCCTCAAAGAGGCTTATCAAAGCTACCCCTGCATCCCTGCATTCAATTGCTATGTCATCTTCCTTTCCTCCATAAAACTCATTACAATGGGTAATTATTTGTTCTCTTGTTATTGTCTGCCTCCCCCACTGGACTGTGTCTGCCCAGGGACCTTCCTCGTATTATAATATTTATTCACCAGTGTGCCCAGTACAGTGCTGGACATGTCATAGGCACTGCGGCATTTGTAGGATGCATCCATACAAGAGGACAAGAAGGAGTCAACGGGTAGGTGAAGGAGGGAATGCATGAGGGTAGCTGATGCACGCCCCCTGAGCCTTTAGAAAGGCAGGTGTATTGCTGCTGAGACCACATTACCTGCTGGGGCACCTTGAAGCGGACATAGGAGCAGAGCTGGAGCATTTCACTCATCTCTTCTGGGGTGGATGGGATCAAAGGAATTTTCTCTACAGTGGCAGAGTCCTGCAGTTCCTTGAGCCGTTGTACAAACTGATTATCAGTTGAGTACTGCAGGCCTGTGGGATTCAAACCAAAATGGCTTGACAAAGCATCTACCTTCTTACCAATCCACATTTTATGCTGGGAACTTCCAATAGAACTAATATCTTTCGGGTATCTTTTAGAAGTAGATTTCTTTTTCTTTTTTTTTTTTTTGAGTTGGAGTCTCACTCTGTTGCCCAGACTGGAGTGCAGTGACCGCTCCTGGCCACCGCAGCCTCGATCTGCTGGGCTCTGGCTATCCTTCCACCTCAGCCTTCCAAGTAGCCGGAATTACAGGCATGTGCTACCATGCCCAGCTGATTTTTTTATTTATTTATTGTAGAGATGAGGTCTCTCCAAGTTGCCCGGGTGGGTCTCGAACCCACGGGCTCAGGCAATCCACTCACCTCAGCCTCCCAAGGCGCGGGATTACAGGCTGAGTCACAGAGCCCGGCTTAGATTTCTTTTTAATTGGTACTGCCATCCTTGCTGAAAATCAAACCACACTCTCAGAAACACAGAAAAAACAATCCTTCAAGATATTTCAGACACTGGCTACTCACATTGTGATCCATGGAGCATCCAAAGCCCACAAGAAATGCAGAAGCACAGCCCTCCCTAAGTCTCTTGAATCAGAATTTGCATTTTCACAAGTTGTCAGGGATTCATACATATAATAGCATTTAAGAACCATTAGTCCAGGAGACAAATCTGTGTCATTGATAAGATGTGAGGAAATACATGATGGAAAGAAAACACAGGCTGGAGTGACTGACTCTGCCTTCCCTTGGCCTGGGCCTGCTTGGTGCTCTCTTATTTGGGACCAACAAATACAACACAGGGAGAGTGTGAGTCTTCTCCTGAATCATCCCCCTTCTTCCAGGAGAGCATTAGGTAACTGCTGAGCCTAATTCTCTTTCAGGTTGCCCATCATTTCCTGTTACCCCAGAGTACGACATGAGAATCCATAGAAGTGGACGCTATGCAGGAAGGTAAAACTAATTTTTATTTCCAACATTGAGCAAATTTATAGATGTTTAGCTTGGCCAAAGAGCTAGATTTTTAGAAAGAAAGGCAGTAGTACCAATAAGATTGGCCATGCTGCAGAAGCCCACACTTTATCAATGTATATCCAGCAATACTTTAAATCTAATGTGGCTATAGTGTATGGCTTCCACAATGCCAGGGAGCAGATTACAATATCTATTTCCTCTCTCTTTGAAAATAATCCTAGACTAAATGTCATGTGGCATCCTGGATTGGATACTGGAGCAGAAAAAGGACATTAGTGGAAAACTAAATGAAATCCAAATAAAGCCTGGGGCTCAGTTGATATTAATGTACCAGTGTTGATTTCTTAGTTGTGATAAATTTACCACAGTAATGTGAGCTATTAACAATGAGGGAAACTGGTGAAGGGTACATAGGGTTCTCTGTACTGTCTCTGCAACTTTTCTGTAAATTTAAAATTATTTCAAAATTTTTAAAAAGTTTATTTAAAAAAACCTAGGGAGGGCCAAGCTGGGTGGCTTAGCCTATAATCCCAGTACTTTGGGAGGCCGAGGCATGAGGACTACCTGAGCCCGTGGGTTCGAGATCAGCCTGGGCAATGTGGCAAGACCTTGTCTCTACAATAAATAAATAAAAATTAACTGGGCATGGTAGCATAGTCCTGTAGCTCCAGCTACTTGGAAGGCTAAGGCAGAAGGATTGTCAGAGCCCAGCAGGTAGAGGCTGGGGTGGCCGTGAGTGTGCCACTGCACTCCAGCCTGGGTGACAGAGTGAGACTCCAATTCAAAAAAAAAAAAAACCTAGGTAGAATATAATCCTGAATTTGTTTCTACTTTTTCATTTTCACATACTAACAAACTTAATTTTAAATTTCCAACTGCAATTCAGGTGTATAATTCTCTGAGTAAATGAACATACACTTGGAAAAGCCAGTTAGGCCAGGCTCAGTGGCTCAGCCAGTAATCCCGCGCCTTGGGAGGCCGAGGTGAATGGATTGCTTGAGCCCGCAGGTTCGAGACCCACCTGGGCAACTTGGAGAGACCTCATCTCTACAATAAATCAAAAACTAGCCGGGCCTTGTAGCGCATGCCTGTAATTCTGGCTACTCAGAAGGCTGAGGCGGAAGGATTGCTGGAGCCCAGCAGGTCAAGGCAAGGAGGGGCCACTGCACTCCAGTCTGGGCGACACAATAAGACTCCAACTCAAAAAAAAAAAAAAAAAAAAAGCCAGTTAGAACTCATTTCCTGTAAGTGATTTAAAATCTAATAACCTTTCATAGGGGCTGTTCCTTCAATTCTCAAGCTTTGTTATTAAAACACCAAATGAGCCCAGGGGTTCAGGACCAACCTGGACAACTTGGTGAGACCTCATCTCTATAATAATAATAATAATAAAAGTTGGCATGGCAGTGTGTGCCTGTAGTTCTAACTCCTCTTAGAAGACTGAGGCAGAAGGACTGTCCTGAGCCCAGCAGGTTGAGACTGCGGTAGTCAAGACCATGACACTCCACTCCAGCCTAGATGACACAAAAAAGAAAAGAGAAGAAAAAAGACTAAACAATTTCAGATATGGTACCTGGCAAAAAGAGAAGAGAAAACCCTTTCGGGCTTGTCTTCCATTTCAATGACCTTAACAGATTTGAAAACTATTAACTTTCATAATGGCAGAAGGATTTTAAAGGTCAATTTAGTGAAGCTTCAGTAAAAGGCATAAGTTTGCAACTCATGGCTAGGTTCTAGCTGAATCATATAAAGGAAGTAGTGGATATGAGTCATATAAAGGAGAAAGTAAATATGAAAGGACTTTCAAATACGCCACAGCTTGGCTTCTGGAGTCAGAGAGCCTGGGATCTGTTCCTATCCTGGCTCTGGTACTAATGTAATTTATTTGTATTCAATGTTCCCATCTATAAAATAGGCATAGCACTGGGTGTGGTGGCTCATGTCTGTAATCCCAGCACTTTGGGAGGCAAAGGTGAGAGGATTGCCTGAGTTCATGATCAGCCTGGGCAACTTGGTGAGACTTTGTACAATACATTTCAAAATTAGCTGGGTGTGGTGGCATTTGCCTGTAGTCCCACCTACTTGGAAGGCTGAGGCAGAAGGATCATCTGAGCCCAGCAGGTTGAGGCTGCAGTAGCTGTGAGTGTGGCACTGCACTCCAGCCTGGGTGACAGTGAGACTCCAACTCAAAAAAAATAAAATAAAAAAAAGGGCATAATATCTTGATTTGGATGGTAATTACATATGTAAAAAGTCATTAAGATGCACACTTAAAATTTGGGCAATTTATTGCATGTAAATAATACCCCAACAAAGTACTAAAGAGAGAGGGAGAGACAGAAGCAGAAAGAAAATATTTTATTTAGCCGGGCTTGGTGGCTCAGCCTGTAATCCCGCGCTTTGGGAGGCTGAGGTGAGTGGATTGCCTGAGCCTGCGGGTTCGAGACCTGCCTGGGCAACTTGGCGAGACCTCATCTCTACAATAAATCAAAAAAAAAATTAGCCGGGCATGGTAGCGCGTGACTGTAATTCCAGCTGGTTGGAAGGCTGAGGCAGAAGGATCGCCAGAGCCTAGCAGGTCAAGGCTGTGGTGGCCGGAAGTGTGCCACTGCACTCCAGTCCGGGCAACAGAGTGAGACTCCAACTCAAAAAAATATATATATATATATTTTATCTATTATATATTATAAATCCAAGTTTGAATACTTACAGAAGAAAAATGAATTTAAAAATCCAACTTCAAATGGCAATTTCTGGAGATATGTTACGGCAAACAGAGAAACTAAAGTTTGGTTTTTTGTTGTTTTTATTGAGTCGGAGTCTCACTCTGTCGCCCAGGCTGGAGTGCAGTGGCACACTCACAGTCACCACAGCCCTGACCTGCTTGGCTCAGGTGATCCTTCCACCTCAGCCTTCCATGTAGCTGGAACTACAGGTGCATGCCACCATGCCCAGTTTGTATTTTTTTGATTTACTGTAGAGACAAGGTCTTACTAAGTTGCCCAGGTTGATCTCGAACCCCTGAGCTCAGACAACTGTCTCACCTCAGTCTTTCAAGATGCTGGGATTACAGACTTGAGCCACCAGGCCTGGCCAAAGCTTGTTTTTTTCTTAAAAAAATCTTATCATAATAAGTAAAGATCTCTGAGTTTTCAGCAAAAAAGAGGAGGGGCATAAGTATAGCACTTTACCTCATAGGGTTATTGCAATAATTAAGTGCATATAAAGAACTTAGTTCATAAGACCTCAATAAGTGTTGGATGTCAATTTTAATATTATATTTCAAAGTACGTATGTGCTGAAAAACAATATATATAAATACTTGGTGGAACAAGGCTGGCTCTGTATTTTCTTTTCTTTTTTTTTGAGCTGGAGTCTCACTCTGTCACCCAGATTGGAGTGCAGTGGCCGCTCCCGGCCACCATAGCCTCGACCTGCTGGGCTCCGGCGATCCTTCCGCCTCAGCCTTCCAAGTAGCTGGAACTACAGGTATGTGCTACCACGCCTGGCTAATTTTTTGATTTATTGTAGAGATGAGGTCTCACCAAGTTGCCCAGGCGGGTCTCAAACCCGCAGGCTCAGGCAATCTACTCACCTCAGCCTCCCAAGGTGTGGGATTACAGACTGAGCCACTGAGCCTGGCTGGCTCTGTATTTTCAAAGTCAGTCTGGTTGGGGTTATGATTATACAACTATCGGTTGACTGGAATTATCAGTAAAACACTGCACATCTTTCAATTCCACATCAAAAATATAATTCTGAAAAACAGTCACAGCAGACACTGGCCACTTGATTCTTCAGAAATTCATTCCTGCTGAGGGATGTTTTAGCCTCATAACTCACCAGCGGGACACACAAGACAGAGGCTGCAAACATCTGATGGGTAGTAAGCAGCATACACTCCAGCTACGTGGCCACCCATGGAGGTGCCTACCAAGTGGAAGGGTTTTTTGTTCAGCTTGAGGCATTCTACAAACTAGGAAGGGAAATGAGAAGGAGACTTGGTTATATAGTTGTTGACAATGACAACTGACGATGGTGATTACAGAGTAGAAACTCCCATACTTCCTATGGACAGCTGAAAATGGCTGCTGACGAAAGTGGGTCTGAAACACTTCTGAATCCATGATCAAAATGAGCTCTGTGGCATGCATGTACTTCTTTTAACCTGGCACAAGTGATTGAGGGGTCATCTATAAATATACAACCAACTAGGATTTCCCCTAATTAATGAACAAGCAAACTTTTCTACAAAGGTCTAGAGAGTAAATAGTTTCTGCCTGAGAGCCATATGATCTCTGTTGTTACTATTCAGTATTGCTGTTGTAGCACAAAAGTGATCAAAAACAATATGTAAATGAACAAATGTGACTGTAATCCAATAAAACTTAATTTACAAAAATAGGTGGCAGGCCAAATATGACTCACAGGCCATAGTTTGATGACTTCTGTCCTAATTTAAAGACTTTCCCATCCATCCAAACACCCATCCAAAAAATATTTATTGGATGTCTGTTATATACAAGGACTACAGTTAGTTTCTGAGGATACAGCAAAGAGCCAAGGTTCCTGAGCTCATTAAAACACATAGTTCATCAGGGGAAGGCAGACAGTAAATAAATCCTCATCTGAGAAAACACTTAACGAAACTTTGGGCTACTCAATTCTGAAACGGTTCATAAGCTCCCATGGTCTTAAAAGTCTATCCAGAGGGTACTAGAGATAGATGCCAAAATAGGACAAAAAGCAAAGAGCATACTCCCCAAATAGACGAGCTACTGCTGTCATATGTAGCTAGTAAGCAGAAAAATGACCCCCCAGAAGAGGGAAATGGCCTTAAGGAATTTTCACCTTTTCAAAGAGTTGAGAAAATGTCCAACTGTATTTCTTCACAAATGACTGGACTAGGCTTAGAGAACAGTCCTAATAAACCCTGGCCCTCCATAGCTGACCAAGAATATCATTGGGTTGCCATTTTCTTTGCAATTACTTGTAGACAGAATGCATTTGACACTGGTCATGAGTAAGCATGTAACTCTCTTGCCTGCTCTCTAGACTTGGGCATGCAGTGATGATCAAGACTCAAGCTGGGAAGTCCTTGGTGAAGCTTCCTTCTTACCTGGTGTATCCTCTTCACTTGCCCTTCTATGGACAGGTCATCCAGGGAGGAGCGGGTGGTACCCTCATGTCCTGGCATGTCCACGCACACCAAGTGCAGGTTCTTTGGAAGAAACTGAGGACATACAGACCCAGAGAGTCAGTCAGTATATGGTGTGCAAAACATGTTTGCTCACTGTTCTGGGTATGACCTGGATAGCATCCATGGGGATATATGGCTCTGAGTCACTCACTGTTTTCCCCTACTAATGTGAATAAGCACTTCCAGTAGCCTCATTGGGAACAGAGGACCCCCAAAACTAAAACATGGATGGAAGGGGGCTCAGGAGATGTGTAGAAAGGGAGGGCAAAAGTCAGGGTAGCAGGCTTAAGTCTCTTGCTCTTTCTTGACACCAGTTGACAGGTACTACTACCTCCTTCTACTTTCCCTCACCCCTTCTGCCAATCCCAAGCTTCATTAGCTTGTCACTTTTGCCAATTACAGAAAGTTGCCGCACCCAGATAAACCAAGACAAAAAGTGATTTAGAAAGCTATTTCAGAATGCTGCCACATCAAGATTGCTTCTCTAAATAGCTAGGGAAAAGAAAAAGCAGAAGTAGAAGGGGGCGGGGGAGAAGAAGGAGTAAAGACAGGAGAAGGAGGGGAAGGAAAAGAAAAAACTTGGAATATAAAAGAATAAATAATTTTTTTTAGAAGCCCCATCTTGATCATCATGGCAGTTCTGAGATGAAGCTGTATCAGAAACCTCCCCTAAGAAATATCCATTAAGTAAAAAGATTTCTATATCACGGGTTTTTTTTGTTTTTGTTTTTGTTTTTTTGAGTTGGAGTCTCACTCTGTCACCCACTGCAACTCCCAGCCACTGCAACCTCGACCTGCTGGGTTCCGGCGATCCTTCCGCCTCAGCCTTCCCAGTAGCTGGAA